GTGAGCGTGATGCCATGGCACTCTACCCAGGGGGACAGCTTGAGGCTCCGTCTCAAAAAAAAAAAAAAATTATTCTCTCAGACTAGGAATGGAAACTGGGCTCATTCAGGAGGATAATGTGCTTTCCTTCTGATTCTCACTGCTCCCACACATGTTCCATGACTGTGACAGTCTGCCCACGCCTGCCTTGCCTACAGCAAGGTAAACTGCAAATGAGCATCACACTATCATCTGTGACTAAGATTCAATAACTGGGATCCTCACTCTTCATATCACCTACACAGAGAAGCACAGTCAAGTTTGATGGATTCCTCAGTCAGCTTTAGGTACCTCTGAGGACTAAGAGACCTGATCAGGGTTTAGATGGCAGTGAAGGTAGGCTCTCCCTTGGTGAGGACCACTATGCTATACAAAAAGGTTATTGAGGGAATATAATTTATGGGTGGTACTAACTTCAAAGGTATGAAGAAATCTATACTTCAAGTTGAGGATTTCTACAGGATAGATGGTTTGATCTTTTTTTTTTTTTTTTGAGACAGAGCCTCAAGCTGTCCCCCTGGGCAGAGTGCCGTGACATCACAGCTCACAGCAACCTCCAACTCCTGGGCTCAAGTGAGTCTCCTGCCTCTGGGTCCCAAATAGCTGGGACTACAGGCGCCTGCCACAATGCCTGGCTATTTTTTGGTTGCAGCCATCGTTGTTTGGCGGGCCCAGGCTGGATTTGAACCTGCCAGCTTAGGTGTATGTGGCTGGTGCCTTAGCTGCTTGAGCCACAGGCGCAGAGCCGATGGTTCGATCTTTTTCTGAAATGATATACCCCTAATTTTATCTCTAATCCTTAAAAAGTGCACTATACTAACCCTCCCCCTTTCAAACAGGGAAATGTCTTGAGGCAATCTGCATTCCAGTTTTAATATCCTTCCCTCCTCCGCCCACATGCCCAAATGCTCCAACACTAAGCCTTCATTTCCTATATAAGAAATCAGAAGGGAACTGACAGCATATCAGGGGTTTACAGTAATTTGCCTTGCTTTTTTCAACTTTCTAATTCCTCCTTTTTTTTTTTTTTTTTTGAGACAGTCTCACTTTATCACCCTTGCTCGAGTGCCATGGTGTCATAGCTCACAGCAACCTCAAACTCTTGGGCTCAAGTGATTCTCTTGCCTCAGCCTCCCAAATAGCTAGGACCACAACACCTGGCTATTTTGAGAGATGGGGTCTTACTCTAGCTCAGGCTGGTCTCAAACCTGTGAGCTCAGGCAATCCACCCACTTCAGCCTCCCAGAGTGCTAAGATTACAGGCGCGGGTCACCATGCCTGTCTCCTCCCTATTATTGATCAACAAAACCTTCAGAAAAGAATTCAACAGAACCTCTATAGACTTTATTTTAAGAATCCCCTTTGGGGGCGGCTCCATATGCCGAGGGTGGCGCCAGCCCCAGCCAAATGGCAACAAAAAAATAGCCGGGCATTGTGTCGGGCGCCTGTAGTCCCAGCTACTCAGGAGGCTGAGGCAAGAGAATTGCCTAAGCCCAGGAGTTAGAGGTTACTGTGAGCTGTGTGAGGCCACGGCACTCTACTGAGGATGATAAAGTGAGAATCTGTCTCTACAAAAAAA